GGGCGTCACCTTCGTGGAAAATGACGAATTTTCGGAAATTTTGACCTATAAAAGGGCTAAAAACAGCCTTTTCGAATGCAAATGGGGGGGAGGGGTTGTCGGAAATTTGAAAGTTTTGTCGGAAATTTAGAAGGCTTCGCCCCCCCACAGGAAAAAGTGAATTTCCGCCACTGCATGCATGGATTAGGGGAATGACAAAACGTCAGCCAACTAACATGACTTATACATCTAGACTACATTTTAGAATTATTTTCCCTTGACATACAGGTATCTGTATATATATATAAACATATAGAAAACATAGTCTTAATAAAATATTGAAATTTGAATACAAGTGATACAGCGTACCTTATTTAGTATGTATGTCTCCAGCATTTGTTTAGCTTGCTTTAATCGTGTATACCATGCCATCAATATTTCACCAATGCATCAATCTAAGATAGGAAATTATGCTTAGAAAGCTTCGAACATTTCTCTCACATACCGTCGATACCGATGACGAGGAAAATGTGAAGGTTATAATCCTTGATCGTCAATTTGTTCGAATTATCACTACCTGCACCAAAATGATTATTCATCGGGCAAGCGATATACTTAGTTTTCAAATTCAAAACTTTTGATTCTACCTCCACAAATTTCTAGAAGGCCAACTGAAGACTAAACCCTAAGATTGTTCAAGCCCGTCGAACAAGGAATTAATTTGTCTTTTCAAAACAGAATCTTAATTATAAGGATTAAGTGCAAATTTATTGACTGAATAATGATAGGATTTAAAAAAAGGGAATTGAACTGCATGGTTGGGTTTATTCATCTTCAACAATGAAAAACGCTTTGAAGCTCAATATTCTTTTGTTTTAATTTGACTATACTGACGCGTAAACACAATTGAATTAAATTTTTAAATACCAGGCGCATGAAATCCTGTGCTTAACAACAATAGTATAATTTCTATAGAAATCAAGTTATTGTTAAGCACAAGATTTTACGCTCCTCGGAATTTAAAATATCTTATAACCAAGGAGCATAACTAATTAGTCATATCATCAGTTTGAATAAAAATGGTTTAGTTGACAACAGAGCAACCGATTTTTACTCTTTCACCGGCTGCGTTAAATTAGTCAGCACCTAATTCATATGTTGGAGGCAATTAACCAAATTAAAGTTTTAAAAGACTTCGTCTTGCATAAAATTCACTTCTATTCCGATTTATATGTCCATGAATTGTATATCCATTAAAATTCTGAAAGGATTTAAGTGTTTCACTTAAAAGGATTTAAGTGTTTCACTTAAATATAAAGCTACTTGGCTGGGCAGTTTATTTCACTCCTTCAAGGTTCTTGATATGAAAGAATACTTAAAATAATCGCACTTAGCGGTAGGTATTCTATATGCGTGGGCAGATGAACGTGTAGAACTATAGGATGACCGGTTGTAGCACACAAGAATCTATGTTAGCAAGATATTTCTGAGCTTATAAAGCATTGTCAAGCGAGCGATTGTCCTTCAAGATTGCGATGTTTTCCAACCAAGGCAGCTCAACAAGAAGACTTAAAGAATTTAGTTCAAGAAGAAAATTGCTGTTTGAATAACCTTTCGTTTACAGTTAACGATATATAATCTATCACTAGAAAATAATGTAGTTTTTTGCTGAATTGTGCACCGTGACAAACACCGCGGTCTAACGTAAAGCAAAAATGGCGGGGAAAATGTCTGCCAAAATAATAGGAGTAAACACGAAAAAAAAGCGTTCAGTAAGGAAATTACGGCTGAAAGTATCATGCAGGTAGGGAATTTCACCGCTTTTTCCTTGTATTTTGACTTTATTCTCTCGTAATTTTCTTTATTCTTTTTGCTAGAGCGTCGTGAAGACAATACTATTTCCAGTCTATTGAATACAGAAGTAAATACGCGAGGACAATTTGACCGCGGTGTTACCGTGACGTATTTCAATTACTGATGATCAGTGATTTGAATACATCAAAATAATCCCCCCTCGCAGTCTCGTCTTGGCAAAATGGGATCAGCCTCTTATTCAGCGAATTGCGTTTGCTGTCTTTGATCCCTTGGGATGAGGCAGCACCAGGCAGAACTAATTCCTTGCGATAGTAACTCCTAGTACAACCCATTGAACTAAGTACAACCTCGTACCCAATGCTTCTGCGCTTGTTGCTCTCAGCAAGAGCAGAAGCCGTGAATACGAGGTTGCTCCTAGTATAAATACGGCAACAACACGGCATCATATAACCTGTTATTTGCGCTCTTTGAATAGTAAAACATGATTAAAACAAAGATTTGACCGATGAATTGAGGGCATAAATAATTCTTTAAATCACTTACCATGCGAAGCTTAAGCCGGTTACAGACGAGCAAGTTTTCTATGACAGTTTTTATGTGGCAAATTTTATTTGCTTGTCTGTATACGCAACTTTGACAATTTTTACTGTGACAAGTACACTTGTTGAAAGGCTAGCATGCTAGCTTTTGAACAAGTGCACTTGTCACAGTATAAATTGTCATAGTACAAATTTTGTTCGTCTGTATGGGTCAACAAAGAAAACTTGTCAAAGTAATTTGAGCACTTGCATGCGGTTAGTCAGCGATCTATTTTTGTGATAGCTATAACAATAGCAATCGTAGCGATCAGAAAACCAAATATTTGTCATACCGAAAATTTGTGCACATACACACGTGCAATTGGCAAATGAAACTTGCCATATAAAAATTTGTCATAGAAAACGTGCTCGTCTGTAACCGGCTTTACTCTGATGAAGTTTCTTCCCCGTCAAACCATTAAACGATATAAGCATTTGTGAAAATAGAAACGTGAATTGATCCGATTCCAGGGCATTTTTAACTATTTAACTGGGGGGGGGGGGGCAAAGCCTCCCCCCAGCCCCCATGGTGGCCCCCCAGTCAACCATTTTGGGGCCCCCAGTCAAGGTCACTTTTGTCTAAAATAAGGAAAACATTGGAAGAAAAATGGAATTTAGAAGGATGTTTGATATTCTAGCAGCTGAATCTTCCTTTGTGAATCTCATGTCAAGTCTTTTATCTATAAATAATACAATGTTGTCTTAAAAATGCTAAACATTGTGTTGTAAATACCTTAGATTTTAAAAATTTTCTAGTGGATAGCATATCCCAGACCCTATACATTTGAGCTGTTGGAAGGCTAGGCTAAACAAGTTAGTGACCGAGTTATGGTATTTATACTAAACATATACCATGCCAGTACTTAACTGAAGATTGAGTCTGTCGACAGTGTAACATAACGCTATATATCTACAAATCTGGGATAATTTCTGCTGGGGAGAGTAAATTTTATTACTTATTAATATTTTTTTTTAATTATAAAATATCAAGTCAGAGTGCCAAATTTCGCGAAATATTTCCACACTTAGACAGTAGGCCCAACAAATAAATTTGCAAACATAATGAAAATGAACATTTATTCCATAATGACGTTTACAAATGAGAACAATCTTGTTTAACTCGTGTTAAAAACGGCAAACAACTTATTACTCTTAAGTCCAAAAAACCCCAGAAGATACGCAATTTTAAATTGGTTGTAGTATTTAACCAATAAAAATAACAAGCGCAAAGAAAAAGAAGAAAAATCTTTTACGTTCATCGTTGGGAAGGTTAATCTCTATTCCAACATCACAATAGCGATGATCAAGATTAGCCGAGTCTTTTTTGATATCTTTATCGGCTTTTCGGTTCAGTTTGCCAGGGAACAAATGCTTCGGCAACCGTTCCTCCATTTTTCGTCTTGCTTCCTTCTCTACTGAACATTTGACTTTTTTTCGGTATCCAACGACCTCCTTTTCATGACTTTTTCCATTTACGTCGGTTACAGTTGTTGTCCGTGAGTATCGAACAAAGCCAATGCTTTCCAAATTTGCTGCCTTTAGGTCTGCTAACAATTCCTTTCGGGTGACTTTTTGAGCGCTTCTGCCTCCTGACAAATGTATTTTCTCAGTCTCTTCGATTGCGTCTGAATAAAACAATTAACAAAACATTAGATTACGTGCATGTTTAAACATTATATGAACTTGCATGATTGCTGGTTGGTGCATACGAATATCCCATCATCATCCCAGAGCCTCGCGTTCCTTCCCAAGGATCGCAGGCTCGGGGAACGAGATTGCATCATCATCAATATCATCATCATCAATCAATTTTATTTACAGAGAAACACGCTAGCCTCACACAACAATATGTTGGTTTACAGGAGCCGGGCGTGTTAGCATGCATGCAGATAAAAAGATAAATGAACCTAATTAATAACTACACCCCCACCCCACCTCACCCTGCCCCAAGAACAAAGAAATAAAGAATTTATTATTACTAAGTCAACACGGCACTAAGAATGGCAGCTCACAATACTTCGCTTAAATTGACGGAGCGAAGTCGCTTTTTTCTCCTCCAATGGAAGGTTATTCCACAGTATTGATGCACTATATTTAAAGCTGGGCTTCGACAAATTGGTTCTTGATTTTGGAAGTGCTAGATCAGTTTCTTGGTTTCGTAATTTATAGCCTTTATTGAAGTGTCTGAGTCTTAAGGGGCTTTCTCTTAGACATGGCGAACAATTTTCATTGAGAACTTTATACAGCAGGGTACTAACATGTAGGGTATCCCACTCTAAGCTTTGCAAAAGAACACTTGATCTAATCCTTTCATCACCGATCTGGCTACAGTAATAACTCTGGCAGCACGGTTGTGTATAATGTTTGCAATTTATCTTTTGATGTTTTGTCACAGGTATCCCATATGTAAAGGGAGAGCAATAATCAAAATATGGCTGAATTTTAACGATATATATAACATATCATTACCGGTTTGACAGCAAAGTATTGCTAATAATGCAATGAAGACACAGTACTTCATGATTAGAATTCACTTCGAATCTCTTCTTCTTTGTCAATTTACCAAACTTGCCAAAGGACGAATTCCAACTTTCCTATTTCATATGACCAGCCTTAGCCCTTTTATAATCATGACAGCAATTATTATGATGATTTTTGGGGTGTGGCGAGTACGCTGGTCAAAGACGCGTGAAAAAAGGGAAATTTTTAACCATTTGACATTGATTGTTTACAGTTTGACGTCCGTAAATCATACGCGCGTGAAGAGAGATTGAACGATCAAAACCTACTCAAATATTTACGTTACATCCGAGTGTTCAAAACACTGATAATCCTTTCTTTTGTTGGCATTCATTTGCAGTGACAATCGAGTAGCCGATATTCATATTTTGGTAGCTGGGGTGAAATTTGATTTAAATTTACACCTGTATTGACATCATTTCTTATAATCGGGCTTTAAATATTTTGTTCTTTTTAATGGACCATTAGCATTATTGACTAAATTTTGATCTAGACAAGTCTAGACAAAAATTTCATCACAGCTTGAAAGAGCATCCCAAAATTAGTAATATTCCTAAGTGTCGTTGCGAAATGTTGTAAAATGCGGATAATATAGCCTTGCGAAATTTGCCGTTTTTCAGTCATTTTGTATTACGAACGGGAAATTGACAACCCAATCGGGTGTTGGGGTATCAACTTCCCGTTTGTAATACAAAATTACTGAAAATTGCAAATTTCGCAAGGCTATATTATCCGAATTTTACAACATTTCGCAACGAAACTTTGGAATATTACTAATATTGTGATGCTCTTTCAAGCTGTGATGATATTTTTTCTAACCCAAAATTTAGTCTATAATGCAAATGGTCCATTGTGTTGAAGGAACTAGACTTAATCCGACATATCACCTACTCGAACCGACTTGCATGACCGCGTAGCTCAGTTGGCAGAGCATTGGACTAGTATCCCAAAAATGCAGGCAAATGTCAGTAGTATGAAAAATTAGTTTCATATTAATCTGACACTCCAATCGAGCAACGGATATCTGAGCTATCGGGTCAACAGGGATTGGTAGGGGTCTTATCCAATTTAAGTGCACGAAATATTTTCGTGACGACTAACGCTTGTCTTAGAGGACGTGCAGCGTTTCAATTCTATTTCAGAACCATCCTCAGAGATACGAAAAACTAGTTTCATATTAATCTAGTATATATGACTAGTATAGAAAATTCAAATGACGATGCATGGCTTCACCACAACTGACTCATATCGACATGATCTTGAATGATATGTTGATTGTTGATTGTTGATAGATAGATAGATAGATAGATAGATAGATTGTTTGTTTAATAAGATTAACACATAGCAGCCAAGAGGCTGAATTGCGTGCTAAATTTTACAAGAGAAATGATTAAATTAGTTATTCTATATTTACAGAAGTTTAAAATTACATTACAATTTATAATTCTATATTACAGAAGTTTAAAGTTACATTACAAATTAGCTATGAAACTAGTAAATTTCTAAAAAATGTTAGCCAGTCTAAAACTGAATATCAGAATCGATTGTCAGTTAATATTATTGATATGCCTTGCAGATGAAGGGAAAAAACTGTTTCTAAATCTGTTCGTTTTGGTCTGAGGAACAACAAAAGACCTTGAGTGTCTAAGGTCGTAATTTGGAAAGTATCTAGATGGTACATGATTATGCATATTAGCTACTGGTGTTGTGGTGATTTCATTAAACAGTTTCTCGCATGCATCCACACGCCTGTCG